GTGTATGTACTCTGTCAGTCGGCCTGTTCTGCTCTCCGCTCTGTCTCTGGCAAATCCTCTCGCTGCCCCTGCACCTCGGCTGTTCCTCATTTCTGCATGCATGAATAAATAAATCTGAAAAAAATATTTTACCAAACAGAATTAAAATTAAATACATAGAAATAAATTTAACAGAAGAGTTAAAGTCATGTACAACAAAAACTGTAAAGACACTGTAAAAAGAAACAGATCTTGTTCATGGACTGAAAGAATAAACACACTTAAAATGGCCCTTTTACCCAAAATGACAGAGCGCTAATGCAAACTATCAGTTTCAATGGCATTCGTCAAAGAACGAGAACAAGTATTCCTAAAATTTACATGAACTACAGAAAATCCCTAATGACCAAAGCAATTTTTAAAGATTTTTATTTATTTATGCATACAGAACTGGGGTACAGGCAGTGGTACAGGGCAGTGAGAGGATGCACCCACAGACAGAGTGGGACGGAGAATGGCAAACTGGAGAAGTACACTGCTGAGGGGAGCAGTTGGTGAGTCAGGAGAGGTCTGCTGCGTCATGCGTGTCACCTCTGGGGCCGGGAATCAAACTAGCAGTGAAGTGTCTACGACCAGCTTGCAGTGCTGCACTTTAACCCACGGTGCCACCAGGGAGAGCCAAAAACCAAGGCAATTCTAAGAAAATAAAAGAATGGAGGTATCTCACTCCACACTTTCTCTAAACTACAAAATATTATGATAAAAACATACACAAAGATCAATGGAATAAAACTGAGAGCCAAGAAAGACACCACACTTCCATGGACAGGTAATCTATGACAACAGCCCGAGAATATACAAATGAGAAAGGAATTACCTCCAAAAATGGTGTTGGGAAAACTGGAACAAAACTACTGTAAATTAAAACCTTAGAAATGAGACTATAAATAAGACTGAGACTCCTGGGGGGGAGTGGGGAGGTAGAGAGGGAAGTGGGCCCAGTGGCCCATTTTTTTAAGGCTAAATAAACATAATCAGGGATGAAGAGGGTCATCCTGAGAACACTGGATTATGAACATACCAATTCTATACTTAAGTGCACATAGTGCCTAAATTTGCATAAAATGAATTTTTCAATAAAATACTGCTACATTGATGACTTCTCTTATTTTTACTATTCCCCACTTGCACATTCCTTCCTTTTATGCATAGGGCCAAATGACAAGACTGAAACTCCACCCCATCGTACCAAGTCAATATAATTTCCTCAGTGTTAAGTGTAATAAACAAAACAGGTTTCCAAATCCAATTTTTCCAAAGATGACCTCATTACGAATAAGCAAGATTATGCAGATTTTATACAGATCTTACATTTCCTTCTAAATATGTGCTCATGCTTAGAGGGCAATGAAAATGTCCCCAAATGTCCACTGAGAATGTTGGGCTGCCTAGGCTTAACACCTAGATCAACCACTCAATGTGGCTTAGAGTATTCCTTAATCTCTCTTAGTTTCCGCACCTCTAAATGAGGAGAGTGGTGCAGAAAATTTAAAAAATGGTACCTACCTAAACTGTGAACATTAAACAGAATAATCCTTATATAGTGCATATAAAATGCTTAACACGTTAAGTAGTCAAAAATATTTCTTAATGATTCGTTGGTTACTTTAAGGTTCTTTATATGATAAATGTTCTTCTTAAGTGAAATTTAAGTAACAGAGAATGCACTTTAAAATGTAAATACTAGAAAGTATTGACTAATGGATTAAACATATAAACCGTAAATATTCATTACAGTTAAGGAATTTAACAAGCATTTAATTGAAAGTCTACATGCTGTTCAGAAGAGTATGTGGACAAAGATTAGTATCCTGGAATAGCCATTTCTTATGGAGGATAAAAATAAATCTGATACAATGAGCTATCTGTATTTTACAAATTTGGATTTATTCCAATAAATGAAAAGCACTTATAAATCACACGCATGACCAATTTCAAACAAGGTTATCTAGAAATCTAGTAAAATGAACCTAATCACTATATAATATATAATATTTAACTTAGTATTCTTTTCTTATTTTGGTGTTCTTTTAGGATACTAGAGTGTCCCAAAGTTATGATCAAATCATCATCAATGAAATTAGATATTCAAGCATGTGTTAAAAGCATGTGCCCAAAAAAAAGCCGTATTAGAAAGGAGATTATACAGTATTAACAGAAAAAGAGTGATCATACAGCTGCCCCATCAATTCTACTTCTAGGAAAATACACTTAGGATATACTGCTAATGACACCTGATTACATACACACAGAAATGAGTCACTGCATCATTATTTAGAATTGCAGAGTATCAGAAACCTAAATGCCCATACACAGGGCAATGGCTGAGTACTATATTTCTGTTAAAAAAAAATAATAAAAAATGGGAGATGTCTATAAGCGAATATAGTGATTACCAGGCAACATACTAAGAAAAAAACTATAGTACAATAGACAAGATAAGGTAATATACATATATTTATCAAAATGCAAAAAGATTAAGTGAAAAACTGAACATATGTCTACTTACAAGTGAGTTAGCGGGGAAATAACAGCAAGATGGGAGTGAGGTAGCAGGAATGAGTAGGGACACTTCTCTGTGTTCATCTTCCCCATATACCCCCCAAATAAATATTAAAACCAGTCAAGATGCAAAGAGGCCCTAAAATAGAACACAATCTCTAACAAATGAGCCTGTTTTACATTTAAGTGACAGTCACAATGAAGCGGAATGGAAAGAAAAGAACTAAGCAATTGTGGAAAACTGTTGCTTAGCTAATAAACTGTGAAGTAAAAGGGTGAAGGTGGGGGGGATGAATATATAGAGTAATAAATGTGTTTCTCCCAGGAGTAAGAATTGAAATTAAAAAAATAAATAAAATTTAAAAAGAATTGAAACTACTTTTAATGTATTTAGTAGACTTAACCATTATAGATTAATAAAGGTCAAGTTTCTCACTGTTGGACAAAGAAATCACAAAAAAATACTAAAATGAATCCTGTGGCATTAGATTAGAGCCAGAAGTATCAGTACAAACATATTTTCAACAGACACATATATCTAAACATGTGCCCTGGTTAAATACGTAACTGCCTGGCTCTATCTACAGGAAGGCACAGAAGCAATGACACCCACTGGCAATTCACACACCCATGTGAGGACATTTTTAAAGTAAACCCTTAAATAAATGGCAAGGGTTCCTTGAAGTAGTGGCCGATTCCTGGACTGGGGGAGGAGAAACAGAAGAGAAGCCTGCCGTATCTTGTGGTATCAGAGAAAAATATGTACAAGGATAGGCGAGAGAATTCAGGCACCAGCTCAAAGTAGTTCCTTAGGATAAAAGTTAAACAACAGAGTAAACAAAACAATGATAATTCCACCTAAATTCACAGGGTAAAATAAATACCAATACAAATCCAAGTCCATACTAATACAAAACATCAATACATTAATAAAAAAAACCACTTCATTACAAAAGAATTCCAGGAAGTAAATACAGAAAGGGTAAAGCAAAAAATCAATATTAGACAAACACCACATTAGTAACTGTTGGAGACAAGGTGTCCACCAATTAATAAAAGAATCAGTGGGTTTAAGTTTGTGGAGCAAGAATTATCCACACAACCTCAAAGTTATCTACTCCATGGTTCTTAATAAGAACAAAGGAAAAGTCTACAGCAGAGAAATCTGGCAGCCACACCTTAACCAAGTCTTCACATTTAAACATACTGAAACATGGACCTAAAATGACACACTAAAATATATCATTAATATGAGCCTCTTGATATGATGATACATGTCTGTGATATTCCTATCCAAAATGCAAAAACCTCATTCTAGTCATGTGACCATCAAACTCTGACTGAGGAACATCCTACAAAACTCCTGTGCAGTAATCTTCAAAATTACCACCCACAAAAGGCAAGGAAATAGCAAGGACTGTCAAAGGCTGAGGGAGACAAAGAAGCAATGATTAATGCAAGGTGGGGTCCTAGACAGGATTCTGAAAGGAACATAGGGGAACAGTTGGTGAAGTTCAAATAAGAGCTGCAGTTTAGTTAATTGTGTCGTACCATTTAAACCTCACTCAAAAATTGTGCTATGAATATACAAGAGGTTGTAATAATAAGGGGAGATGGATGGTGGGGTATATGGGAACTCTAACATTTTTGCAATTTTCCTGTAGATCTAAAATTACTGTTGTGTTTGTGTGTGTTGTGTTTGTGTTGTGTTTTAGCAGAGCTCAGAAAAGCTCACTTGAATAGCAACTGGTATATCATATTTTTTATTTGACTTGGTTTAGTTTTTCTGCAGGGGATGGGGCTGAAAAAAAATCAGTTTTTAATGACAAATATATGCATGTGATCAAACTTAGTAAGAAAAAATCTACATTTGGAGGAGATCTTCAAAATAAGTCCTATGTTCTGAATTATCCTAACTGGAAGAAGTTAGGCTCAGTCCTCACCCCCCATAAAATCAGTCCTATGTTCTGAATTACCCTAACTGGAAGAAGTTAGGCTCAGCCCTCACCCCCAATATTAAAATACATATTCATAAAAGTTTTACAGTTGCACTGTTCTACTTACAAAAAGCTTCTACTTTTCTAGGACATAATTTCATTTTGTTTAAGCAAGAATTCATTAAAGAAGCTATAAATAACCTTTAAATATTTAGCCATGAATAGAGGGTGGACTGGCATTGAAGGCTTATTTTAGGACTAATGCAGAATGTTTTTTTAAAAGCTACATTTTAGCATGCATCAAGGTAATGACGAACACTTGCAGTATAATTTTCATTGTTAAAATTCATTTCTCTTTAAGAAATTTTGCTAAAAGTAACTTATTTATTTACTAGTAGGAAAGGTAGCCTTAGAGAGTAAGATGTTGGAAAGGGTCAAATATGAAATTCTTATTGAAAAAAATCTATTACATTTAGTATCTAGACAACCTTTCCTTTGTTCCCAAAGTGTAACACCAGTTAAAACTGCTCACACCAGATAAGGAGCACCCAAGGAATCAGACCAATTACGGACGCATTATGTGCATGGGTATACAATAGGAATCAGAGACACGTCTAAATCCAGTCATGAAGTTCACATCTTAGAGACCAAGTTTCATAAAATTTTTACTTGGAAAAAAAAAAGTTTTACAAAATACCATTCTTCCAATCAAAGAAACTTTCCCATAGGGCACACTAGTTTTAGGCCTCAGCGATTACAGAATGACAGCGGGAAGAGTTCTTAAATAGCCACCTAGTTGCAAAACCTACAAGAAGCAGATTTTTTTTAAAGTGCCTTTTCAATGCTAAAGCAAGTAATATAGTCGTTGAATCTACTTGAAATTTTAAGTTTCTTTAAAATGGCCCATATGGTATACACAACATCACAGCTGGCATAAAACTGCCTGTATTTCGTTCCACAAATGAAAACAATGCCTATGAACGGTAATCTTTAAAAAATAATTCGAAGTGCTGCCACTGCATCATAGGGCACACGCAGACGAAAATTTTGACAGTGTTCAGAGAATTAACACAACCAAACAGTACCCTACAATATTCAAGCATTCACTTTGATTTCTTTCAAATACCACTCACTGGTCAGGGTAACAGACCGTGTTGCCAGATAACTCAGGTTGCCTCTTTTCAAGCTACATACAACATATTTCGCTATGGATATACCCTAAACAAATGGAACACTCGGCTTGAGAATGCAAATTCCCATTTCCTAGGCAGTGCCTAGTTTTTTTGCTGCAATCTGGAAGCTTTGAACTTTGAAACCCTCTTTGTAGTTTCTTCTGACACTTCCGACAGAACTTCTTTTCGTTCTGGAATGGTGGGCAGTGCAGGATGAGCCATGGCTGGGTGTGGTGTTAAGGAGGGTGATAAAAATTCTTTTTCTATTACAGTTCCAGAAAAAGCCTACAAGAAAAAAGTCAGATTATGGTAATAAACTGCAAATAACATGCCTACAAAACCTTTATCCTGTGTTTGTTAGACATTTCTTTTCATTAAGTCAATTCCCAAGATTCAACAAAAATATAACATCAAAATAGACATTATTCAAAGGAATCAAGTACCGTTAAAATATTTTAATTACACTATCAAATGTAAGAAGATTTTTACAACACACATGCAAGAAAACAAAATACAGCATAATTTTTATATCTGAGATTAAATAAAAACAGTAAATAAAAGGCATTCCATTTATGTCCAGACCATGATAGAGCAAAAAATGTATTACAATAAAAAACCTGGGGATGTTCATGAGTGAGCTGCCCTGTGGCGGCAGCTGCCTGTCAGCCAATAGTTTAGCTTCCCCAGAAGCAACATCTCAGCATGGTGGTCGTACAGGCAGTTATTTGAGTAGTTTCTTGCATCTTGCCTCAACTTTAAGAAGTGACACTGGTTAGTCTCAATTTTTAATTCAATTAAAACAGTTAATTCGATGATAGAAATCAGAGGTTTCACAAAATATGATTTTTTTTACTTTTAACTGGATGTTTGCTGGACTTAATCACTCAATTTACATTCAACTGGACAAAAGTATAATGTACAAAACTGTCAGAAATGTAATCAAAGCTCTATCTTCTATGTATTCATAGATTTACCTATAGTATCTACGCTGTGTATTATATAGAAAACTATATTTGCATACATAATACACACAAGCTCGTTGAGTGTTCGCATGTATGTTTTCCACACTAGCTAAAACCTTCCATAAGCTGAAATGTCATAAAGTGAAACAAGAGATTACAATTAATTTATATGCAGTTTTTTGAGCATTCTCAGATCCCAAAACCACCTAATCCAATCATAACAAATAGCACAGATAACATGACACTAACATACTTGCCAGAATGTATTAGTGCACACACATGTATAATGTGTAAACATGATGTGCTAAAGGCACAGCCTGCATAAAGTAAGTCCCGGAGGAGGAGCTGGGCAGGACCACTCTTTCAGCTCAAGGCACACATGCATCCAGAGCAGTCAGTGCAGCACAGACCCTCTTCTCACTTTTGTGGTAGAAGTGAGAATCCTCTTCAAATTTCCTTTATTTTCAAAAACAGGCAGTAATGTAGGCCTTTTTGTAGCAAAGACGTGTTAACCTGAACTTCTGAAAAGTGAGGGGACAGAACTCATGTACAAATGAAAATCCTGACACCTAAACTTTCACATGTACTTTGCTTCCCTTTGTCTACCAAGTATACAAAGTTACTTAAGACATTTTTATCTTGAACAATTTAAAAATGTCCTCTCCTCCACCTTGCCCCCACTAATGAAGAAGAAAAAGAACTCCCTCTTGTTCCCACAGTATTTTGAAACCTTTGGTTTGAGTCCAGCTCAGTCCAGAACCAGAAAAGCTACTTTCATACGAACTCCATTCTATCATGATGAGCAAAGGGCCTCTGTATTAACAATGCTTTTGAAAAAGAGACAATATTCTAGCATTTAAATGTATTTTTCAAACTGTTTGCCATAATCATAAACTATTTATTCTGATATTTAAAAATTCACAGGTTCTAGATGCTTGCTTTATCAGTTCAACACAAAATGCTGAGGTAATAAGGGGTAGGTGGAAATAAGTCTCAGCTGAATTCAAATTCTACCTTATGAACACAAGGTTTTTAAATACTAAAAGAAAAACCCTGAGTACAATAGTACCATAGGACCAACTGTACTGAGTACCAATTGTTGTACCAAAAAAACAAAGGTGCAAGTTTATATTCATTACCTGTTTTTTCTAATAGTATGGGAGACAAAAGACCATTAAAAAAGATTCTGTTCAAGTCACCTGAGATCATTATAGAAGGAAGAGGGGAAGACAATACTCTTAACCACAGATACTACCCCTAAAAGCTAATGATATCCATTCTCCATTTGCTGAATACAATAGTATAGACAATGGAAGTTTTTGTGTGCTTACTTATATAAGCATATATAGTTTAGATGTATTTGATGTATGCACAAATGTTATTAGAATCTATCAGTTTAATACAGGTGTTAGTCCCCAGTCTTTCTAAAAACTTTTTTAAGTGAAAACTTAAAAAACCCACCAAACTAAGATAAAAAAAAAATCAAGTCTGAGTTTAATAGAAAATATAAGATATAGCTATTCCATTGACAGGAATTCATATTTTTTGGCATAGCCCAAAGTGTAATTTTTTGCACAAAAAATTATGTGCAATGTAGGGCATCAAAGTATATGTGCACTCACTGGTTTTTGTTTTTTTTTTTTTGAAGAGTAGATCTATAATTTTCTGTACTACAAATAATTCCACAGCCCCCAAATGTTCATTAAACATTTTCATTGGCACAGGCATAGAATTTGAATTCAGCCAAAGCATATGACAACTTTAGAGAATTATCTGTTGTGAGAGTGTGTGTTATACAAATATATCTATGTAAATGTTAAAAAATTAATTCAATCAAGCATTTTAAAAAGTGTGATCTATGAATTCTCATAAAAATGACGATAGTCTGCTCTAGTGGTTATTTAAAATAACACACTAAAGTATTTTACTAGCCAAAAACTATAACACATACTCTAAGATATTTTTTAAATGTTATTTTAAAGAAACAGAACTTCAAAACTGGTACTATTTTTAGCTCCCCCAAAAAATGTTGAACTATTTTAATATCACAATATTTGTATCATATTTGTCAGTGACTACATTTTTTGCAAACTATCATCAAAAAGAACAAAGCTTAAAATTAAGTAGGTACTCTGACTTTTGAGACTAAATATACATATGAAGAATCTGTAAGATAAACAATGCGATTGTTTTAGATTTAATAAATAACAACTGGGGGTGGGAGTACAGGATGGTTCCTATACTCCCAAAATACAAACAAGGTAAACCAACATTATCAACCAAAAGTAATTTCCCAACAATAAATATATAATTTAAGGACAATAAAGTGAATGACCTATATAGACCATCTCTGGAAGGTATGGCAGCAGCAGCTAAAAAGGAGAGGGCCTCCAAAGAAACTTCCTTTCAAGTCCAAAATGACTGTGAACAGGGTAAATGAATGCTAAAACCGTCTGAAATGGAGTCACTACCACCATTTCAAAACTTGGCCAAAGATATATGAAACAGACTTAAAGATACACACATACCTCAGGTGCTCCAGATAAGGACAAAAGTTTCTTTTGATGATTCTGTTGCTCCTCTTCCAAAATGCTCTCACTGGCGTCACTGCACGCAGCCTCGTCACAGCTGACACTGCGCACAAGCCCCCGCCTGTCGTCAAAGTCGGCAGTGCTGCTCTCGCTGGTGTCACTGCACACACTGTTCTCCCTGCTGCGTGACTTCAGGATGGACTTACGGGGGACATACTCTCCATTCACCACATCAACAAAGACTCTAGATAGCCCAAGAAAAGGAACACCCACTCACTCAAGGGTAATTCAAAACTGAGGATAAACTTACAAAATCCTTCCTAAAAGCTAATCTTAAATATTTTATTCAAACATAGCTTAAATTTTTCACAATCATAACAATTTTGTAGTATCAAGTGTTGTATTTAAATTATTTCGGGAAAAAACTACTCTGGTCTAATAAAATATAACACTTCATGTGTAAGAATGTTGTAGGTAACAATAGCTAGATCGTCACAAGATTTTACATACAATTTAATCGACTCAGAAGACACTTAGCAGTGAACACTCACAATTTTAAAAACATGAGTTATGAAAACAGTAGATTATCTTCAAATGATAGCTTTCTCAAGAAAATCTGAAAAAAGCAAGACTGGTATTCTTAACTTCTCTTCTGAAGTGACAAGATCAACTACCTGCCAAGCACCACCACAGCTGTGACTGCCAAGTCCTGCCCTAGCCCACTGGAAACACAAACTCTTCTCAAGTTAACACAATGGTTTTGACTCACTGAGAATGAGGCAGAGGGGAAAACATGCAACATTTCAGTCACTTCGGACTAGAAAGCGACCGTGGCTCTGGTCTCCCTGAGGGCCGTTACAATACAAAGCTTAAAGCTACTCTATAGGCCTATAGGCCTAGTACCGGCTTCAGTGGAATCCTATGTGTTACAAACAACCTTTTTCTGTAAATACACGTTTGCCCAAAAAAAAAAAAAGGGCAGGGCCAGACTGCCCTGCTGCCTGTGAGGCTCACTCACCGATAAATGTCAGCGGGCGTCCTGATGGGAGGCAGCTCCTGGGCAGCCTGGCTACCGCTAGAGCTGCTCTTTCGTTTACGTTTGGCTTCTTCTTTCTTTTCACTGAATTTTAAAGTGGTGTTTTTTCCAGTATTTATTCGGACCTAAAAATATTATAGCAAATAATTATAATCCCTTTGAGAAATCAATATAAGGTCACAACTAAAACCAGTAAATGCTATATGTTAAAGAAATAATAGGAAGAGAGGCAGTTTAAAATTTTTGATTCTAAAATGATGTGCATTATCAATTAGGGTTTAAAAAAAGCCTTTACTTTATCATAACTTCCTTCAACAGCATTAAATTATATCTTTTTTAATGACCAATTCTTCAGTGACTTTATTACTGTATAGAAAACAAAATACATTTCAACTAACTGCTAGATTTATTATAAACTTTCACATCACCCTATTATTTTGATGTAAGTTTTTTGCTTAAATCATGCATTTCAAAACAAAGAGCACAATTAACCTAAAGAAATATTCACTAAGAATAAAAACCTGAGGTCATAAAAACAGTATCAGATTGCTTAACTATTACAAATTTTTAAAATACCTCTAATTTTTAGAAATCTAAAGATTTAAAAATAAAGCCAATCCTGTCCTGGATAATGATGTTATTCTAGTCCCTTTGGGGCATTTGTATTACATTTTCTTTATAATGACTGTTCTTCTCTGTAACATTCCTCCAAGTATTACTTATTCTTCCCATTTTATCTAAATGAAAATAAGAAAAATTTTACATCCAGGAAAAAAAAAATTACAAATTTCTTTTTCTTGTTAAGTAGTTATTTTTTTCTGAAGAACTCACAAGATGCCTCTTTTTAATATAAACTATTAGAATACTGGGGGGGGGGGGCGCGGAAAGTATAGTTATTTCACTTCATATTCCAGCAGGATAATTTAAGGGACTTAAAAAAGAGCAAATATGTTTCAAACATGTTTCATTAAATAATCATCACAAACACACCAAACTGATATTACAAGCCCTTAACTCTAACAAAGGCAATCCTTACATTTATGTCTTGTGGTTAAAAAGAGCACTAAACTGAGATAAAGGAGTCCCTGTTTTATTACTAACCAGTCCTCTGGTTGTATTCGGCTTTAAGTTTCCTTAAGAAAGCCAAACTAGAAAAGATGACTCCTGGTGGCCCCTTCCAACAGAGAGAGGACCAGGGGAAGGACTTAGGCAACTGTTACTTCTTAAGCCAGAGCCAACCTATTTTGATCTATTTTAAATACCTGGATTCTTAACAGTAAGTATGGAGGGTACAAAGTCTTCTGATACCAGAGTTCAAAAATACTCTATTGGAAGATCTCCATAGAGCTCCCCTCACTTTAAAATGCCAAAACTCTAAAAGTCATGATTCTCCATAAATGTTTATATTTACTCTGTCAGAAAAGGAACTAATTTTTATTCCTAATTTTTTCCTTTTTGTGCATGATGCTCCTATTCATTTTATGCCTACATAGAAAACAACAACCTGGTGTAATTAAAAATTTAACTAATGCAGTCACTCAAACTCCTAAATACACCAAAATGTCCACAATATAATTAACTCTAGAATTCTTAAGAAAATTGTCTGAATGACAGGTATAGCTGCCACTCAAATCAGATCCCCTCCCAGACCTTAAACAATTCAAATTCAATTATAACAATGACAGATAACAATGACAATCAGCTAACAAGACTTTCATTTTTACTTTTTAGATAAATTGGTCAGCTCAAGAGGCAAAAAAAGTGATTACCTTGTCTGACATAATCAACAATATTAGCAGTATTCTCTTAAAAAGTATCACAGATGCTGCTTAGCATTCAAATTATATGCAAAATTAATAAAGTTAAAAGTGTACAAACCCTCTTAGGTTCAATAGTGTGAGAAAAATATATAGTTGGTATAGTGTCATCTCCAAACCCTAAATCATTACAGCCATTTTCATGGTCATCAGTGTCGTCATCTTCTTCTTCCTTTTCTTCTTCATTACTGTGGTAAGAATGTGACCCATTCACTGAATAGTTCAAATGACAGTTCACTCGACCATTGAAGAGCTCGGACCTTGCGACATTCTCACCACTGCTGGGAGTAAGAGAGTCTGTTACTGGCTGCATCACATTCACATTTATGTTCTGATCCTCCTTTTCCTCTTCAGAAGATGTTGTATCTTCTCCACTTGTAATCACAGTATCAGGTTTACTAAAAAAGGAAAAAAATACAAGATCAAACACATTAGAATTTTAAATATTCACGCTTTCAGTATATTTCAGTGGGTAAAATTTACAATTTTGAATATAGTCTCCTTTAAATTAGAATTAAAATGCGTTGAAATAAATTAGCAAAAATCATTAGTTTCTAATATAGTTAGTATTTAGTGATTCAAATGATAAAGAGAATATAGTAATTCTTCTTTGTCTTTTACAAGGAGGATACTGTCTATACACACTACAGATAAAATTTTACAAACTCAGTCAGAAATGCTAGAAATTCATAAAGAACATGTACCTCTATGTAAAGACCAGAAATTTAAGTAACAAAACTAAAACACATTCTTATTTTGTATTGTTATACTTGGAATATTTTAGTAACATGCTTTATTATAAAGAATCTGTACATATGTACACTGATATATTTATATACACAGGCACATTTTCTATGTTTTCTACAAAAGACTAAGGAATTTGTAGAAAGAATAAAACCAAAAATGCAATGGAACCTAACAAAATCATACAAAACGAGAAAGAGAATCATGAACCCCCTCCAAAAAAGTCCCAAAATTCAAAACTGATTTTAAAATGTAGTAGTACCAGTTAATCAAGAAGACCTAAGAAGTTATAGGTAAAATGGTAATAAATATCGATGTGTCCTTTGTACGTGGTGTCCTATTTTTTACAGAAACTAATTACTGCACATGGTACATCATTTAAGCAAAATAATGTAAGAACTTCTGTAGTAACAGATTTCATTGAGCACTCTGACAATTCTAAGTGAGTGCTAATGTGTATTTCAAACAGCAATTTGGTGAGGTTTCTCATATATACAGCTACCTGACCAGATTACAAATTGCTTACTCAATCAATGAACAGGAGTTCGCAAAGGAAAGCAAAGATAAACATTTTACAGTAACAAATTTAAAAATCAAACTTTTTTTACAAGTAAAATTTTTTCAAAGTATTCTCCTGATTATAATATAAAAACATTTGAAATGTGGTATGTAAAAACATCCACATTTATCATAAATCAACTATCTTATTATTTTATCTTATTATAAAGTATGAATACAAAAATGCAGATAGTGATCTTAAGTATTTTTTGTACAAGTACATGCAGAGGAATGTGCTCATGAGCACAAAAAAATATACTACACTATTATTTTACACTGGTAGGATTATTGATACTAATATTGCACTTTTCTGTGTTTTCACCAATAAGCATGTATTGTAAGAAAAAATTAATAAGGAAATGTGCATAAAACAAATTATCTGAAAAACGTCATCTGTTATTAGGTACCTGTCAAGTTCGCCCAGCAATTCTTCTTGTCGCTCCAGTTCTTCAAGTCGATCCCACAGTTCCTTATCAGCAAGCAAATCCTTGGATTTTATATCATTTGCAAAATCTGCTTCAAAAATATCTGAAGTTTTTGGTTTGGAGTGAGGTTTATGAGCAATCCGCTGCTTTGCTTTTTTTTTTTTTTAAAGGAAAGACATGGCTGTTAATCACCAACTCAAAAACACACAAGCCTACAATTAGTACAACTTTCTTTTGAGGCAAGGGGGATGTTAAGACTCAGAAGGGCATCACTTTTAAGTCAAACAGGAAAATCCCATGGATGCGTTCTAGAATCTTGCTACTCAAAGTGTGGTCCAAAGATCAGCACAGCACTATCATCGTTGGAGCACTGATGTTTTAACAAGAGCCTCAGAGGATTTGCTTGCACAGTAAAGATAATGAAGAACTGCTCGAAAATACATGACCAGAAACAGCCACAACGTACCCCAGTTGTAACTCAAAACTCATCACAAGGATACCCATCTTCTATCCATACTGAAGAGAATTAATTTAAAGTAACACATAAGATTTTATCACTCCAACAAACTGCCAGGCATGAATTACTCTGAGTAATCCAGGAAGGCTAGTCCCTAGAAAGTTCTACTATAGTTTTACATATTAACATTGCTACTTTTTAAATTGTTGCCCTTATTTATAATCCTCAAGTGAGGGGAGAAGATGGATAAATGCTGAACTCTACCCCATCTGCTTTTCATTTGAAAACAGTAACTTTCTTATACAACAAACTTTGAAGATGATTATGGGAAGAAACAGAAAAAAAAAATGTTGAAGTAAAAGAAAATCCCCATCATATATTCAACCTACAACACTGTTTTCTAAATGTGAAATATCAAAATTATATTTCAGAGCCTAATCTCTGTAAATTGTTATTTGTAAACTGTTATTAATTAACAAATTTTATATGTCCGATCTCTAAATCTTTCATTGGCCACCACAAACATCGCAACTTGCATTTCTGCTCTTTACATTTCATACATCTCTTTTACTTCACTTTCTCAAGCTATTCATTATTATTACTTGTGATACCACATCATTAGTGATAGTCTAGTCAGAATATGGCTTCTAATATTATCTCTATTTCAACCAGTAAGTTCTTTTCAGAGTTAACTACTAAAATATGAATGTTAAAATAAAAATAAGCTTTCTAAGGTAGCAAATTACAAGCCATTTCTGTAATACTTTGAAAACTTTTACTACTATATCACTTTACACGTGACAAGGGAATCTGTGGTAAA